TTTGTCTCTGAACCTCTCATGTATGTGGGGTCTCTGACGCTCTTGTTTATGTGAGGTTCCCATATGTAGGTATGTGATTAAATTTGGTCATTTTCTCTTGTTACTTTGTCTCTTGTCAGTTTAATTATTAGACCAGCCTAAAGAACCTAGAAGGGTAGAAAATTTCTTCCTCCCCAACAGACACCTGTACACCCATGTTCATAGCAGCATTATTCACAGTGGCCAAGCATTATTCACAGTGGCCAAGCAACCCTACTGTCTATTGACAGATGAATGGGATGACAAAATATGTATCTCTATACATTGGAATATTATTCAGCCTTAAAAAGGAAAGAAATTCTGACACATGGATGAACTGCTTTACGTTATGCTAGGGAAATGAGCCATTCACAAAATGACAAATACTGTATGATACCACTTATATTAGGTACCTAGAATAGTCAAACTCATAGAGACAGAAAGTAGAATAGTGGTGGCCAGTGGTTAGGGGGAGGGGAAATTGAGGAGTTAGTGTTTAATGAGCATAGAGTTTCAGTTTTGCAAGATGAAAAGAGTTTAGAGATGGATGGTGGTGATGGTTGCACAATAGAAATGTACTTAATAGCTGAACTGTACACTTTAAAATGGTTAAGATAGTTAATGTTTACGTTACATGTATTTTACCACAATTTAGAAAAAAAAGAAAAACCCTTCTACAAATGTTCATAGTATTATTATTTACAATAGCAAAAAATTGGAAGCAGCCTAACTGTCCATCAACTGGTAAATGAATAAATGAGTTGTGGTATAGCCATACCATGAAAGAATGCTACTCAGTAACAAGAGAAATGAAATACCAATACTTCTGGCTGTGTGGTTCGTTCTCAGAGTATTATGCTAAGCGATAGTCAAACACAAAAGACTAAATACGTATGATTTCATTCATATGAGCTTGTAGAAAAAGCAAAACTGTAGGAACTCCAAGCAGATCAGTGGTCACTGGGAAGGAGATGGAATGCAAAGTGGCTCAAGAAATCTTTTCAGAGAGAGCAAACTTCTACATCTTAATTATTGTAGTGTTTACACGGTTATATACAATTCCCCAAATTAACCAAACTGTACACTCGAAACGAGTGAATTTCATTGAATGTAAATAATACTCTAATTTAAAATAAAATAGAGGAGAAATTTTATGGGGCAGCCAGAGTTTTGTGGTTTTACAGGAGTTTGTGAATGTGACCTTTCTATTAGCAAACATTTTTTCTCCTAAAAGGAAGAAGTTAATGGAGAATCTTGCAGAATTAGTGTATAGTTACAGCATTGTTTATTATGCCTTACAGCAAAATTCTAAGTTTGACCTAATAGTCATTATAACCAGGATGGCTTATCATTTGCATCCTTCATATAAATAATAATCAAGGTTTAATGTTAAGTTTTGACATACCAAATTGTGTCTGTAACATTTTATTTTTTAATTAGTCACCATTTCTTCAGTGGATTTAAATGTGCTCTTCACATTCATTATAAAATAGCTTACTTCATGCATTATGATTTTGCATACAAAATGAGCTCGCACTAATGGGAGGTTGTTTTGTCTGATTCTAATTTTGACTTTTGACCTTTGAAATCAGTCTGTAAAGGAGTATCTTATCAACATACATGTGTTGAGAATGTCTGTACATAATACACATACACGCCACAAGCAACCATACCTTAAAAATGTATAAAGAATTAAAAATTTAAAGGCAGTAAGTACTTAACTATATTTGGTTTTCAGTGTATGATAAAATCTGTTTTTAATTCAAAACTGCTTTAGTTAAGCTACATGGGATGTAGTTGTAGCTTTTATTTTTATTAGAGTGATAGTTGAGAAGATTTTGTGTTGGTGTGGATATTATAGGCATATACAAACATATGAAATGTATTAATTTCAGACATATCTGAGGCTTTCGCAGGCAGGATGTCCACTAAACAATAGTCCTTCCTAGGAAAGCAAAGGATTCTTATCTGAGAAACTACAGATTAGGAACTCAGAAATATGTTTTAAATTACGTGAGAAAATGTTAATGAAAATGCTTTGTAAACTTAAAAGTTATATAAAAACAAGAACTTTCCAGAGGCAATATACTAGCATAAGTCTCTGAAGTATGGTAGACTAAGACGGTGGTGGAGAGGAACTTGACAGATTTGTGGGCATAGTTGGGCAAAATACCACAGTAACTTCTGATTAGGATCAAAATATATGCCAGCAAATACCTGCAACATCTTTATTTGCAGTTAATGCTAAAGTTAAAGCAGTCAATCCCCATATTTGTAGAATGTCTACCTAATATTTGACAAAAGCATACTCCTCTACCCATTCTTTTATGTCAACGCTTTATTCACTTAGAATGTTTTTGAGATTCATCCATGGTTTTATAAATATCAGCAGTTCCTTATTGTTAAATGCAAAATTTTATTTTATTGTCTGCATATACCATAGTTTTTTCCATTCTCCTGTTGATAGACATCTGCACTGTTCCCAGTTTTTGTTTATTATACATAGTTAGGATGGATGACTTAAAGGCCCCTTGTGACAGACAGTATTATCGGACACATGGAAGGAGAGGAACACTAGGCAGAAGAATTGGGGAACATTCTTGAGTCTGGTGGTGTTTGCGCAAGAAGAGATGGGCGGTAGTGTCTTAGCACAAACAGCAGCGTGAAACGGGTTAATGTAGGGTGTTCAGGGGCTGATGGATAAATGGGAAAGTACACGTAATGGGAATTCATTGAAATAAATGTATATTGTCTTTGCAGCTCGACTGCCTAGTGGAAGGTAAGGCTAGAACAGCAGATTAGGACCCCGATGTCAGAGGATCCTGGGTGCTGTGCCAAGCAGTAAATTTAGGTTGTTGTGGAGAGCCATGGAAGGTTTTGAGCTGGGAACATCTTGACCAAGTCTCTGCTTTGGAAGAAGTTTGGCAACATTGGAAGGAATGGATTTGAAGGGGAAGGGAGACTAGAAAGAGGAGGAGAGGGAGATATGGGCCAACCAGGATCCTGTTTTGAGTCTGGGTTAAGATAAGCAGAGTCCATAGTGGCAGTGGGTGAGGAAGGACCTGGACTGGTGGCAGACAGGAATAAAATGGGTAGGACTGGAGGCTGTTTGGAGGTGGCCGAGGGAGGCACTTATTAAATTAAGTAGTTGGCATACTGGTTAATGAGGGAATAAGCCTCCCTCAATCAGTCTTGGATTGTGTTACAGCAGGTATCAGAAGATATTCAATAACATGTCATGCTTCTCAATTATTTTTTTATTTTTGCTTTTAATTTGGAAATAATTTCAAAGTTTACAAAAGTCACACAAATATTACTGAGATCACCCACGCACGCTCTTTATCCCGATTCATCTGTTGTTAACGTTTTGCTCCATTTGATTTTTGCTTTGTGTGCACATGCTCTCTCTTCTTCCCTTCCCCCTCCCTCTCTGTAGGTCCTCATTATTTTGTTCAGTGTTGTTTTGCTATAATGTCGATGCGCTGCTGTCTGGAACTTAACTTTTGTTTATATCAATTAGCCTATGGTAAAACTGGTTTCTTTTTGCATACTTCATTTTGCATAAAGTCGTGGGATCTATTGACAACATTAAGTGAGGACTTACTATACACACAGACGGTTTTGATTTCTCTCTCCCTCCTCTTTTTCTCTTCATCTCCCTGCCACCCTCGCCCCACCAATAGCATTATTTTTTTCTTAACCATATGAGAGGGAGTTAATACCTCATGGTCTCTAAATACTCTGAATAAGGATATTCTTTTACCCAACTATAGTAGTTATCAACTTCAGTAATTTCACATTGATCTAATATTTTATTGTTTATATCTGTTTTATTATTTGATCCAATATTATTTTTATAGCTTTTCCCCCTCCAGTCCAAGATCTAGTCCATGTAATGTGTTATATCTTTCGTGTTTCTTTTGTCTTTTTTATGACAATGACGTTATTGAAGAACACCAGCCCCCCCTTTTTTTTTTCAATAAAATATTTTTCATGTGGTTTGTCTGCCTTTTCTTCATGAGAACAGATTGTACAGTTCTGACCAAAATACTGTGTAAGTGATGTTGTGTCCTACTCGGGGTGTCAAGTCTGTGAGACCATGCAGATATCCTACTCTTTATCAAACTGTCTCCCCAGATCTAGCATCTTTTGATGATGGTTGAATAATTGAGTAGCCAGAGGTTTTTACATGTAACATTTTAAAGTATTCACTTCCTAGGGAAGGCTTAAATAGACTTGCATGGCCTCTTGTAATGACTTGATTTTTTTATGCTTTTCATAACTTGGGGGCTGTAATAACAAAAATCTATTTATAAGACCCATTTAGAAGAGATAGGACCCACATTGGCCATGTGGTCTCTGTTTTTATCAAGTTATATTTCAGGGAACATATTTTCTTAAGGAAAAATTGGGACATATAATCTGATTTAATTCAACATGTCAAATCCTATAAAGGTTTAAAAATGAAGCCAGGTTTAGTTATAAATTTGGCAAGTCACCTTTCTGGAATAGAAGAGAATTATAGGAAGGTGGGGTATGCCCTGTAAGTGTATTCAAATGCATGAGCAGTGTGATAACTGACAGACTCAAGTTTCTTCTGTTCTGCTGTGTATCCATTATGTAGTAATGAAGGTAACAATGCTAGCTTCTGATTTAAGGTAATCAAGATTATTATTTTGTTACAGTAGTTCTACCGAAATAGAGACTGGGAATTTCCTTTAACAATTTGTTCTTTTAGGTAGTAAGAACAGCTTAGATTTGTATATGTTTACACAAGCATAATGTAGAATGTTCTTCTAAATGAGCTTGTCATGGAGAAATTTACACTTTAGCTTATAATAAAGTCTTAACTCTCACAGCAGCTGCCCCTGTTGTTGATTGCTAGTTAAGTGTTAATAGATTTAAGAGTATCAAAATAATTTTATAGCCTAGTCTTCTTGTTACCTTAACACCTTTCTGTTGTTCCACTGTTTGTATTTCAGTCTTACAGCCACCAGCACAGTAGGGAAGAGAAAGCTGAGTCCCAGTCAAGCAGAAGCTGGCTTGGAGTCCAGAGTATCGGGCGAGTTTTCTGACCCTGAGCTTGAGCAGACTGATTCCTGTGCAGAATCACCCTCAGAGGGAAGGAAAAAGGCCAAGAAATTTAAAAGAATGAAGAAGGACTTTCCTCCAGCAGGTTTGTATTGGCTCTTTCTAAAGTTCTGGACTCGTGAACTCCTCAGTGCTCTAGAAACTCTTATTTTGGGGGAGAAATTATAGCAGGGCTTCAGTTGGTCGCAAAGCCCATATAACCTTCTATGGGACCAGATTATTTTAGGACCAATTTCATTGAATTGGAGAAGTCCCTTAAAAGCCCTGGCTCTTGATAAAGTAAGGCTTGATATTGGGGACAAAAGTCGGGGGCGGAGGTGCTCCTGGTAAAGGTGGTTAGTCCATTGTGGGATCTTCTCGCTCCCCCATGGCTGAGAGGTTTTGCTGATGTGTTTAAAGTAGCCTCTGTATTTTAAATGTATATTTAAATGTGCACAGAGGCCTACTCCTACACATGTTATTTTCAGTAGCAGAGTTTTCACTGTTCCCAGCAAAATCCAGGCAGTCCTGGATTTCTCTCATAAGCAGAATTATATAAGGAGCAAAGGAAACAGGAAATTAGCACATGTTGAGGGCTTACTATGTGCTAGAAGCTGTAGTAGGAATCTTTTCTCTCCTTATTCAGTTTCATTCTCACAACAGGTCTGACATAGGGAATTCCCTCCTTGTTTTCGTGATGCAGGTGTCTGGGGGCTCAGGGAGGTGGAGAGACATGTACAGGTCCATATGGGTAGTAAGAAGCAGACCCCGAAGGTGAGCCCCAGCCCGCGTGACGCCAAATCCCACATCCTGTCACCCAGGCATGAGGGTCCGTGGCCTAACTCAGCCCTTCCTGCAGATCGGGCTCTACAGGGCCAGAGTGTGAGGGAGGAGGGGGTTTGCTCCTCAGATCTGATCATAACCTGGTCAAGCAGCCGTCAGGGTGACAATAATTACAGCTGCTGCTGACTGAGTGCTTGCTAAGGATCCAGCACGACACTTAATGCTTAACAGAAATTCTTTCATTTAAATCTGAGGTAGTCATCATGGGCTGTTTTACAGTGATAAAGAAAAAACAAAACCAGAGGCCTAAAAGATGACCTGACTTACCCAAGGGCACAGAGCCCTTAATTCTGCCCTATAAGAAAGCTGGTTCTGGTAGGCACAGTTCTGTACTGTCTGCTCAGGATAAGAGAGCCACAGACCTAGCTGCCATTGTTCCTCTCCTTTATCCCCCCCATCCTGACAGTCAGTTACTCTGCTTAGAACCGACAGCCAAATCAAAGAAAGGTAGTAAAGCCGTGGAACTTGATTCATGCCCAACCTAGGATCTCACTGTGTTTCAGTTAATTCCTTTTTTTGCATGTGGCCCCGTCTGACTGTAGACGTTTTCTGCGTCTCACTGATATTAATGAAATCAAAGAAGCCGCAAAATGTTATGTATGTTTTTGTACAGAATGCTGACTCCTAACTTCAGCTGAAAACTTCAACTCTCGTTTGAAGCCTGAATTGTATATTTGAACTGTCTCCTTGAATCAGAGTGTCTCCCTTTACTTGCCTCCCTTTCTTTCCCTGAAATAAGTATTGGAGATGTTTTTAATCTGTAGCATACTTAGTCTTCATCTGTGATGCCTTGCTACTGCTGCCAGTTGTACCTTCCTGACAAATGTTAAATATTAAATGTTAGCGTGACTTTTAGAGATCACTCTGAGCATGATTTGGTGTGTGTGTCTGGGGGGGGGGCTCTCCTTTTTTTTTCTTTCATATCTCTTCTCTTGAATTTTTCGGTTTATCTGTTACTTCTCAGGGACAAGATTTCAGGTTTTTTCCCTTCTATCTCAGCATAATCTTAAATGTATTAAAATTAAAATACCTAATAATAGACTGCATTAATAGATTAGCTCCTTTTATAACTTTCATGGTTTTAAGTGAAAACTTTATATGAGTTATTTGGGGTTTTGAATTTATAATACCGTCATTAAAATAGTTTTCTCTCCCATTGACAGTAAAGCTGTCACTGCCACAAGATGTGAGCTAAAAAAATGATAGATTTTTTTACTTCATTGTCAGTCCTGCTAAAAAGAGAAAAAAAATCTTGCAAATTTTAATTGAATCAAAGAATTTGAGAGAATTAAGCTTTCTTCTGGAGCACCACTCACTGAGCAGGACTTTCGAAGGGTAGATGTTTAATGAATCCTTTCAGCTGGCTTATTGTAAGCCTTTAGTCCTAATAGGATTAGCAGGATGTAGGTCAAGCAGTCAGATGCTGAACCTGTTGAGAAAACCATCTCTGCCTGCTCGGTTACTTTATAGATCCTGTGAGTCAGAGGACAGAGTTCAGCCCTTGTGAAGGGTCTGCAGTCAAATCGCAGAGGCTGAGTGTACCAGGAGCTGGGAGGGGTTGGCCTGGGTGTGGGCTGGAACTGCCTTAGAGTGTTTCCTACAGTGTGGGAAAGTCTGTCCTACAGAGACAGGTTCTAGGGTGTCACGTCTGAGCTCTCCTGCTGGGGACAGTATCCTGACAGGTACTCAGAGGCTTTACAGAGGTGTGCTGGGTCCCCAGCACTGTCAGTGAGGGCGTGAAGAAGGTAAAAGACAGTAAGTACTTCGTTTGTAGGGAATTTTCTCTTTTCCAAAGAGAAAGTAGCTAAAAAGTAGGACCATAGAATATCTTGTACTGTGTAGCAATCTTGGGACAATTGATGCTTAATAAATCCCACCCGAAACTGTCATTTTTCTTACTTATACATTTTAGTATATCAGGTACACAAAGTGTTAAGTACTAGACTCCCTCTTCCCAGATAACAAAATGTGCTAAATTACCATTTATTGAGTTTATTTTATATAACAGACATTGTGCCACGATATCCTTTTTTACCTTATCTAGTCCTTATCAAAACCCAATAAGGTATAGATAATATTTTCAATTTATAGAGGAAACTGAGTCTCAAAGAGTTATAAACTTACAAAGTCAAATATAGATAGTTTGCTGGGTTGGGGGAGCTATCTGATCCAGAGCTTACCCATTGCACCTCTCTGCAGTGTATAATTGATCCAAACTTTAGAGGAAGCAAAGGATTCTGTACAAGGAGACTATTTACAGCAGCTGTTAACCTGGATTTTCAAATGATGAAGTCATATGATAAAAATCCAAGCGACCACTCCCCTTTGGGGCTTCAATTTCATGTACATATTATATACTTAGCATTTTTCTCTTACCCATTGTGGTTTCTGTCCTTTTCAGGAAGTAAGTGTATAATGTAAGTCCTCTCCCTTTAATATTTATTATGATGAGTAGTGCTGTCTACTTTTCCTCTGAGGAATTCAAGGTACATTCTTGGTGGTTACATAAAAGAAAACTGTTCAGTGTACCATTTATGCTGGAGTAAGCTGTCTCCGGGACGTGTTCCCAGTGTCCGGAGAAGCCCCAGCCTCGGCCTCACCCCCGTCACCTCTTCCGGAAATCACGGGCTGTGCAAACTGGCCCCTCTCAGGGTGCTGACGGACTGTCTAGTTGCTGGAGGGTCCATCAGCGCCCCATTAGTCAGTGTTCCCCCCAGGGAGTGCCAGGAGAGGGTCTGTTCCTGTTGACTCTTGTCATGTAATAGGTTGCCCCAAGTCTTTCTCCCTCTTGCATTTACAACACAACACATTAGACCTTGAAGTGTTTGCGAAGAACCATGGATTTTATTGGAGTCTTGACTAATCTGCTGAACTTTTTAAGCTCAGATCCTTAGGGTCACAATATAAAAGTTTTGAATCTACTTAGAGCCGCAGTCTCCACGTGTTGGTACAGGTCTCCTTAGAGTCAGAAACAGGATCTTTGGGTGTTGCTGCCGATCACCTGAGCGACCAGGCTAGGAAGTCAGTGACCTCACAAGGAGCTTTGTAATTACTCAGTTAAAACGTAGTTTCCAGCCTGAACGTGGCACATGGGGTGTGTGCTGCGCTGCTCTGTGGGGCAGTATGCTCAGTGCTTTTTTGTACTCTCCCCGTTCCACCTGGCAGCCCTCTGGGGCCCCCATAAGCCAGCAGGGGAGCTCTGCCTGCTGGGTGTGGGCAACTACCCCATTACCAGGCCCTTTGGAGCACTTCCTAGTCAAAAACTTTTATATGGCACCCCAAAGATCTTTCTGTATACAGAATTCCACTCTAGAAAATTACACAGTGGCAAATTGCCAGTGTACTGTGTAGTTTTTTAGACAGTTTTGGATTCACCTGAGGGGAGAGAGATGTCTTACCTCTAAGTTTTTCCCTTTTCACTCTAGTTAGTTCAAAGGTAAATAAGCAGAAACAATAACCTATTGTGTTTGCCACATTTTAGTTTCTTTTGTTGTTTTGGTTAATAAAAATAATGTGCTCACTATGAAAACATAAAATGAAGAAAAATAGAAGAAAACAAAATCCCATAGTTATTGATACTCAATTAGTGTTTTACTCTGCCTATCATTTTTATATATCATTAGCATCATACTCTATGCAATTTAGTATCCTGTTTTTTCTCCATATGAAAAATTCTTGGCCAAATAATTTTAATTATCAGCATATTTTCTGTTAAAACTTTATTGGATTTTTTAAACAACATTCTTAAATCTTTTCCAGGAAAAGTTTTATTAAGATATAATTTATGTTCAATGAAAGTTACCACTTTTAGGTGTACAATTTGATGAGTTTTGACAAATGTGTGTAGTCACATAACCATCACTGTGATCTAGATATAGAACAGTTTTATCACTCCAGAAGATTCCCTCCTGCCCCTTTGTAGTCAGTCCCTCCCTCTCCCCCGGGATCCTGGCAACCACTGGTCAGCTTACTATCACTGTAATTTTGCCTTTTTCAGAATGTCATATAAATGGAATCATACAATAGGTAACTTTTTGAGTCTTAAGCATAATGCATTTGAGATTCATTTGTGGTGGTGTATGCATCAGTGATCCATTCTTTCTTATTGCTGAGTGGTATTCTGTTTTATGGATAGATTGCTGTTTATTCGTCCATTTTGCCAGTTGGCATTTAGACTGTTACCAGTTTTCAGCAACTAAGAGCCAAGCTGCTCTAAGCATTTGGTTGCAGGTTTTTGTATGAACTTAAGTTTTCGTTTCTTTTGGGTAAATACCTAGGAGTGGAATTACTGGGTCATATTGTAAATGTATATTTAACTTTATAAGACACCAAACACTGTTTTCCAAAGTGGCTACACTATTTTGCATTCCTGTTCCAGTGGCCCTGCACATTGACAAGTATTGGTATTGTCCTTTTTAGCCATTCTGATGGGTGTATAGTGGTATCTCATTACAGCTTTGATTTGAATTTCCCTAATGACTAATAATGTTAGGTATATCTTTACGTGATTATCTGCCACCCAAATCTCATCTTTGTTAAAATGTCTGTTCAAATCTTTTGCCCATTTTTTTCTTTGGGTTGTTCATTTCCTTCTTATTAGGTTTTTAGAGTTCTGTATATATTCTGGATACAGATTCTTCTGGGTGTTTCGCAAATTTTTCCAGACTGTGCTTTAAAAAACTTTTATTTTTCTCTCTCTTTTTAAATATCTTCTGGGTGCTTTACAGAGTTCTGTTATTTCTCCATTTAAAAAAAATATATTTTTCAATTGCAGTTGTCATACAATATATTAGTTTCAGGTGTACAACATAGTAATTAGACATTTATGTAACTTACAGAATCATTACCCTGATAGGTCTAGTACTCATCTTTTCATTCTCTTAACAGTATTTTTAAATAGCAGCAGTTTTAAATTTTAATGAAATCCAATTTATCATTTTTTTTCCCTTGGATTATGCCTTTGGTGTCATATCTAAGAAATCTTTGCCTGACTCAAGATTGCAAAGATTTTCTCCTTTGTTTTCTTCCAGAAGTTTTATAGTTTGGGATTTTATTCTTAGGTATACAATCCATTTTGAGTTCATCTTTGTGTATGGTGCGAGGTATGGCTTGAGATCCATCAAAGTAGGAGACAGATGTCCTTAAGTATATCTCGTTTAAAAAGAAAAACTGTTTCTGAATAATTCTTTGCACTCTAGTGAAACAGGGCTGTGAAAATGAGTTTCCTGGAAAACTGGCCATAGCTTCTTGTCCACCAGCTTTGAGACTGATGCTTGGACAGTCTACCACACTCCCTTTCTGGAAAGTGCTGGAAAGAACACCACAGTGACCTGAAGGTCTCCTCTGGTATGGGTCTCCTTTAGATGGTCCTTAAGTTCTGGTTCCTCTGTCCACATTATTCTTGCTCAGCAGCTGCACATTTTAGGCAGTGAAAAGTAGCATCTGCCACTGCAGACTGTTGGCTTCCTGGGGAACAACCATACTCCATGTTGGGCCACCTTATTGATCAGGGAAGGGGACCTGATATGCATTAAAAATTGGCTCTGTGCCAGGAACTTTGCTGTATCACAGGAGTCCGACGTGGCATACAGTGGTCAGTCCATCTTATAGATGCAGTGAGACGTGTTCAAAGGCATCCAGTGAGTAAAATGGTCAAGCCAGACTCTCCTTGCTCCAAAGCTTTTGCTTATTCCATGATTTCTCATTAGCCCTTCACGGAGTCGCTTCCTGTGTGTATGATGGCGTGCCGCCAGACTCACACGTACTCCCATCCAGCTAACAGGTCCTATTGTAAGTGTTACGAGTATGACAGTGCAGTTGCTTTTAGCTATTTATCTTTTTCCCCTCTTTTGACTAGTTTTAATTTTCTTCAGTTTCCCACATTTGGCACTGTGGTTTACCATTATAATGGCTAATTGGCTGCTATAATATTTCTTTGATATGTGAATTATACAAATGCCTTTATTGATGTTCATTGTCCTCCCTTCCAGTAGGTACTGTATGAATGTGTGAAGGAGGTCACAGGCTAGTTTTGTCTTATTGTGTACCTGCAGTATTTAGTTGTTCTGGGGAGGGGAGTGTTTGTGTTTGTGTTTTGTTTTTTAATAATCTTTATTTTTTTCTAACTGGATCTTTTTGATGTGGACCATCTCCTGCCCGCCTTCACTTCTCAGGAATAGTCTTGCAGTCTTTATTGATAGTCCTCAGACATGCAACAAAGCATATGAGACCCAGGGCAGAAAACTTCAAAGTACCCCTCTCCTGATCTGCTCATCCTATCTTTCTGGATTTTATCTTCATAAGTGATCAGAAGTGGAAATTCTCTCATTTTAGCTGAAATACCCATGTTATTTCAGGTGTTTAGACCTAGCTCCCTT